ACGTCAAGTATGAGGAGAGCCAATGTTCATGAGGAGAACAAAGAAGTGACGAGCGTCTGTATCGCAGATGAACAGTTCACTCCCTCGTCTGGCGAGCTATTCCACCTCCCAGAACGTGACCGAGTTAAAAGAAGCATTTGTATTTCCCAACCCCGTGATATTGCTTTTTTTAGACGGTCAAATTCCATCGGATGAGGTTGGAGACTTATAGATGAAATAACACTGGATAAGGCAAGATAAGGGGTCAAATTTCATCGGATGAGGTTGGAGACTTATAGGAGTAACACTGGATAGAAGTCGGATCGTGAGTGTGTGTTTTAGAGGGGTTGTTAGAGCGATGGGTGTTGTGCGTCTTGTAGCTCTCTTTGATGGGATTTTATAATTAGGTTCTTTGTCCTTCCTGGTCGTGGATGGCGAGGTTGGTTGTGATACCGAGGGGTAGTGGCCGACTGCTTCCTTTAAGCTGTCTGGGGGTTGTGAATATGATAACTGTATGTTGATATATGTCGTGGTATTGTGCCATCGTTGAATGCAACGGTTCACTTGCTATAGAGACTAGGCAGGTAGAGATAAAGCTTAAACGGAGCTTTATTAAACCTTGCGATTATTGCGAGCTTCTGAAATGAGGAAGAAGTTCCCCTTATTCATTATTGTTATAGACTTTTCCCCAAGCGAATGAACTTGTGCATTAGGCCACACTGTCCACCTTATCAAGACGACGGCGGTGATGCTGGACGCCGGTGGCCACGGACCGCGCCACGAACAGCTTTGGGAAATGTCCTCATCCGACGCTTGCATTTTATCCATACAGTCCGTCAAGGGCCTGACTGAGCTACCCGAGGAAGACTGCGGACCTTTGCGGAAGCTTCTTGCACTGGATCTGAGGCAAGCCTTCGTCCAGAGAGATCGCTTGTCGCTCATGTTCTGCCGCAGTTACGGTGCGAAAGAGGACATGGAAAAGACCAGTTCCCTTTCCCGTCGATGATGCTGATCGCGAGCCTTTTTCACGCGGTCGAGTCGGCAGAACGGTAATAAAATATCAATGCGTTCCTGGCCAGCGTATCCGCCAGTAACGACCCTGTCTTATCTCTGCCATTACCACCCCCGCTCATAGCAACACGTGTCACGTATGAAAGCTTGTTATTTGTCAGGAAAACTGTGGCCATGCCATTCCATGTCAAACAGACTGCTCAGAGCCACGACCTTCTTTAAGAAATACAACCGTGGCTGCAGAGTAATCAAGACCATTGTCGAGGAATCTACTACTACTACTACTACTACTACTATAAATCCTCTATTCCTTCACTCAATGTGCGAACAAATGTCAGCAATGTACCGCACAAACGGCCGGGGAATCCGCTATGGTGAGTGAGCCGCGCCCAGAGCTAGAGGAAGGTCGAGGGGCGTCTTGCCCTGCTGGAGGAACTCGGCCATGTTAGCTACACGTGACGATGTACCTAGGGACCGCTTCATCCGGTGTGTGTGTGTATATATATATATATATATATATATATATATATATATATATATATATATTATATATATAATATATATATATAATATATAGATATATATATATATACATATATATATATATATATATATATATATATATATATATATATATATATAATGTGTTATATATTATATATACATATAATTATTTATGATATATATATACATATATGTAATATATGTATATATATATATTATAATATATAATATATATATATATATATTTTTTTTTATACATATATACATATTTATATAAATATATTTATACATATATTTATGTGTGTGTTTGTGTGTGTAATATATATATATATATATATATATATATAATATATATATATATATATATATATATATATATATATATATATTATATATATATATATACATATATATTTATATATATATATATATATATATATATATATATATATATATATATATATATATATATATATATATATATTATATATATATATATATATAATATATATACATATATGTATATATATATATATTATATATATATATATATATATATATATATATATATATATATATATATATATATAATATACATACATATATACACACACACACAGATTAATAGATATATATAAGAACAGCGAAAATAATAGCTGACGCATTTCATTATCTCCACCCCGCAGCTGCAAGGGACATTCGCCCTTAGCAACGCCCAGGCATTCGGAATCATATAATGACTTCCGTAAAGTTGTTGATGTCAAGTTCATATTAGCGGTGAGTGCTGACGATTTCGACTTATAAAATAGTAATGGTGTTGTTAATGAAATGATGTTGATGGGAATGATCGTGATGATAATGATGACAGTAATAATAATGATAATAATGATAATGATGATAATAATGATGATGATAACAGTAATAATAATAAGGATAATAATAATCTTTATTATCATCATAATAATGATAATAATCATAATGATAGTGATAAAAATGACGATAAAGATAATAATAATGGTGAAAATAATAATTATCATAATAATAAAAAAATAATAAAGGCATACAAAAACTCAAATCATAGCATCGTTTTACAATTTATTCTTCCTCGAACAATAGAATAAAAAAAAAACAATTTGAAAGGGGACTGAGAAGGGAGAAAATGAGAGAAGGAGGGAGAGAGAGAAAAAAAGAGAAAAGGAGGAAGAGAGAGAGAAAAAAAAGAAAAAGAAGAGAGAGAGAGAGAGAGAGAGAGAGAGAGAGAGAGAGAGAGAGAGAGAGAGAGAGAGAGAGAGAGAGAGAGAGAGAGAGAGAGAGAGAGAGAGAGAGAGAGAGAGAAAGAGAAAGAGAGAAAGAGAGAGACAGACAGAGACAGAGAAAAAGGAAGAGAGAGACAGAGAAAAAGAGACAAACAAACAAACAGAAAGACAGAGAAAGAGAAAAAAAAAGAGAAAGAAACACCGACAGCATTCACCGCGCTCGCCCCTCCGAGAACCAGCTGACACGGCGGCGGGGAGGTTGGCGAGGAACTGCAACCCGGAGGCGCTGCAGGAGGGATAGAGGGAAGCGCAGCCACGCCCACCGAGTCCTGCAACGGCGGCTTCCTTGTACTTCGACGCCCCGCCCACGTGAGGTCTGTGGGGGAGGGAGGGAGGGGGAGGGAGTGAGTGGAACTGAGGTATGGGTAGAGGGAGGGTTGAGGTTGTGGGGGCAAGTGATGTTGGGTAAGTGGAGTTGTGGGGCAAGTGTTGTTGGGTAAGTGGAGTTGTGGGCAAGTGAGTTGTGGGGCAAGTGTTGTTGGGTAAGTGGAGTTGTGGGGCAAGTGTTGTTGGGTAAGTGGAGTTGTGGGGCAAGAAGTGGAGTTGTGGGGTAAGTGGAGTTGTGGGGTAAATGGAGTTATGGATTCAGTAGAGTTATGGTGTAGGTGTAGAGTAAGTATATTTAAAGTGTCGAATATGTTATGATTCTGGGTAAATGGAGTATGTTGCACTGAAGTGAATGGTAAGTGGAAGTGGAGTTGAGGCTGTGGAATATGTTGGATATGAGGTACATGGTAAGTGGCATTGGGATGTTTGGGGTTAGTGGAATAACGGCCGATGTGGAACAAGTATGAGATCTTCTCTAGTATGGAAATCTTGTCTTGTTTTTGTTGTTGTTTTTAATTGTTATTAACTGGTCGATCATGTGCTTGTGTTTCTTACATCCAGGAAGAAATTCATTAAAAATAATAATTGATAATAATAAAATGGATAATCAATAATGATGATAATGATAATAACGATAATAATAATAATAATGATAATGATAATAATAATAATAATAATAATAATAATTATAATAACAATAATAGATAAAACAGCAACAATAACAGTAAAACAACAACAATAATAATAATGATAATGGTAGCAACACCAGAATTAATAAAAATTATTCATATGCAACTACATAACAGCAATATCACATGGACATAATAACAATAGCAATAACAACACTGCTAACACGCAAACACTAATCCCAAAACCGCAAAATAAAAAAGAAAAAGGAAGAAAAAAAATGGGAAGAAAAACAAGAAGAAAGAAAGAAATCGAAAGAAAAAGAAGAAAGAAAAAGAAGAAAGGAAGAAACAAAGAAAAAAAAAACAAGGAAGAAAGAAAATAATAATAATAATAATAATAATAATAAATAATAAACACGTACACGAACGCCCTCACTAAACGAAGCGCATGCGGAGAAGCCCCCCGGAGCAGCCTGTGGACCTCGCACACCACCTTCTCCCGGCAGCGTGCGGGCGTGCGGAGGGCCGCCCACCCTTCCTCGAGGTCCAGACTCTTCAGCAGACTCGCCCAGGACACCCGACGGAGAGCCTCGTCCACCGTCTTGTGCCTGGGGGGGGGGGGGGAGGAGGAGGAGGAGGGAGGAGGAGGAGGAGGAGGAGGAGGAGGAAGGAGGAGGAGGAGGAGGGAGGAGGAGGAGGAGGAGGAGGAGGAGGAGGAGAGAAAGTGGGGTTTGGATGAGGGGCGAAAGGGGTGGGCGGAGACAAGAAGAGAAAGGGTGTTTGTGTGGAAGTGTGTTTATGTATGTGTATGTATGCATACACGCGCGCACACATGGCAGAAGAGGGGGAGAGGAGGGAGGAGAGAGGGAGGGAGGGAGAGGAGAGAGGGAGGGAGAGAGAGAGGGAGAAGAGAGAGAGAGAGAGGAGAGAGAGAGGGAGGAGGGAGGGGAGGGAGAGGGAGAGGAGAGAGGGAGAGGGAGAGGGAGAGGAGAGGGGGGAGAGAGGGAGAGAGAGGAGGGAGGGGAGGGAGAGAGAGAGAGAGGAGAGAGGGAGAGGGAGAGAGAGAGAGAGAGAGACAGAGAGAGAGAGAGAGAGAGAGAGAGAGAGAGAGAGAGAGAGAGAGAGAGAGGGAGGGAGAGGGAGAGGGGAGAGAGAGAGAGAGAGAGAGAGAGAGAAGAGAGAGAGAGAAGAGAGAGAGAGAGAGAGAGAGAGAGGAGAGGAGAGAGAGAGAGAGAGATAGAGAGAAAGAGAGAGAGAGAGAGAGAGAGAGAGAGAGGGAGAGGGAGAAGAGAGAGAGAGGAGAGGGAGAGGAAGAGGGGAGAGAGAGAGGGAGAGAGATCAGAGAGAGAGAGAGAGAGAGAGAGAGAGAGATGTAGATTCTATTACGTGTTCGGTTCCATGACGGTCAGTATGTAACTAAAAAATCTAGAAGAATAACAATTACTTATTTCTCTATATTTCTCTATTACCAATAGAACGATGGTGATGATAATGTTGATAATAATAATAATGTCTGTAATAACATTATACTAATATACTAACAATGGTGATTAAGTATAACATCAATAACAACAATAATAACTAAAATAACAGCAACAGCGATAACCAAAGTACCCAAAACAAACAAGAAGACCTTATTCTAATTAAAAAGACACATATTCCCTACGCAATTAACAATTAACGCTTTAAAAGAATATAAAAAATAAAAAAAATGAATTAGAAAAAAAATAAAAATGGAATAAAAAAAAAAAAAAAATAAAATAAAATAAAAAAAAAATAAGAAAAATAGAATAAAAATAAATAAAAATAAAAACAAATAAATAATAAATAAATTTAAAAAAGGGGAAAATCAGTTGCCTGCAAGACAGAAAACGCGCTGGACTTAATCCGGTAACTTTAATCCCAACAAAATCACGAAAGAAATTCGAGGAAAAGTAATCTGTTCCAGAAAGAGGTTCTCGACACAGCGTAAAAAGTCAGAGAAAGAAAACGTTACGAGGTGAGGAAAACATAAAGAGAGAAAGAATACGTTAAAGGAGAGAGAAAACATGGGAGAAAGAGAACGTTAAAGGAGAAAGAAAACGTTACGTTAACGTTAAAAGAGAGAAAACATGTTAAAGCAGAAAGAAAACGTTACGAGATAAAGAAGACGTAAAGCGAAAAAGAAAACGATACGGGAGAAAGAAAACGTGACGTGAGAGAAAACACCACAATCGAAAAAATAATGTTATAGAAGAAAGGAAACGGTAGAAAATCTATCTATATATATAACATGAGAAAGAAAACGTAACGAATGAAAGAAAACGTTAAGAACGAAAGAAAACGTTACAGGGGAGAGAAAACGCTACAATAAAATGTTACAAAAGAAAGAAAACGTTACAGGAGAAAAATAAAAATTATACAAAAAAAGAAAACGATTCAAGAGAAAGAAAACGTTACGTTAAAGAGAAAACATCACAATAGAAATGAAATGTTAGAAACGAAAGAAAACATTCTGGAAGAAAGAAAATGTTACGAGGGAAAGAAAACGTTTTGGAAGAAAGAAAACGTTAAGGGACAAGGAAAACGTCAGCGGTGACTGAAGTTTTGAGAATATTGCGAGCGGTGCAATCGTGTATTCCCAAGTCGGCTAATTTTCAAGAGAAGTGTTCCTAGGAAGCGGTAAATAAAATAATTCATGACAAGAGGTATTACCTACGTTTATTTGTGTTGGCGCACTCATGCACACTGCACTTAGACTTCACTTTGTTTCTCTTTCTCTCTCATTCTTATTCTCATTCGTTCATTATCATTCCCTCTCTCTCTCTCTCTCTCTCTTTCTCCTCTCTCCTCCCTCTCCCTCTCCCTCTCGTCTCTTTCCCTCCCTCCCTCTCTCTCTCTCCCTCCCTCTCCTTCTCCCCCCTTTCCCTCTCCCTCTCCCCTCCTCCCTCTCCTTCTCCCCCCTCCCCTGCCCCTCCTTTCTCCCTCCCCTCCCTCTCCTTTCCCTCTCCCTCTTCCTTCCTTCTCTCTCCCCTCCTCTCCCCCCCCCTCCCTCCTCTCCTCTCCCCCTCCCTCCTCTCTAACCCACCTACTCCCTCTCCTCTCCCTCCCCACTCACCTCCCTGGCAGAGTGGGCGAGGGAGTCCAGCAGAAGGGAGAGCGGGCTGGACACGACGGCCAGGAGCAGAACGACGCCGGTGAGGACGACGCCCAAGGAAGCCAGCTGCAGACCCGTCGTTTCACGGTCGGTGTTGGCCGGTCGTAGGGCACCTGCAGCGAGGGGGTCGTCGTGGGGGGGAGGGAGGCACGTGCGGCGAGGGGGGGGAAAAAAGGAAGAATTAAGGGGTGTACAACACGCTCAACGCCACGCACACACTCCACGCACACTCACTTACGCTCACGCTCACACACACACTCACGCACACACAGCACACAACTCACACACACACTCACACACACACACAACAACACACACACTCACGCGCGCGCGCGCCGCAGCACACACGCATATACATACAATATGTGCATATATATGTACACATAAGCTTGGGGTGAAAAGACAACCGGAAAAAAACGGAAAAGCTATTGCCAAAAGTACAAGAGAATACGGAAGGACAACTGGAGATCCTTCACCGGCAGAATGGTCGAGAAGGTTAGAGCTATGGAGAGAGAGAGAGAGAGAGAGAGAGAGAGAGAGAGAGAGAGAGAGAGAGAGAGAGAGAGAGAGAGAGAGAGAGGGAGGGAGAGGGAGAGGGAGAGGGAGAGAGGGAAGGGAGAGGGAGAGGGAGAGAGAGGGAGAGGAGAGAGAGAGAGAGAGAGAGAGAGAGAGAGAGAGAGGAGAGAGAGAGAGAGAGAGAGAGAGAGAGAGAGAGAGAGAGAGAGNTACTGGAGGGTGGGAGGGCAAGGACTCTAGTTTGGAGGCTGGGAGGGCAGGAAATTCTTTACTTGGAGGGTGGAGGCTGGAGGCTGGAGAGAATCTACTTGGAGGGTGGTGAGGGCAAGGACTCTCTACTTGTGAGGGTGGGAGGCAAGACTCTACTTTGGAGGGTGGGAGGCAAGGACTCTACTGGAGCTGGAGGGCAAGGACTCTACTTGGGGGTGGAGGGCAAGGACTCTACTTGGAGGCTGGGGAGGGCCAAGGAATCTACTTGGAGGGTGGTGAGGGCAAGGAATCTACTTGAGGCTGGGAGGGCAAGGAATCACTTGGAGGGTGGGAGGGCAAGGAATCTACTTGAGAGGGTGGGAGGGCCAAGACTCTACTTGGAGGGTGGGAGGGACAAGGACTCTACTTGGAGGGTGGAGGGCAAGGACTCTACTTGGAGGGTGGGCAGGAGGCAAGGACTTACTTTGGTGGGAGGGCCAAGGACTCTACTTGGAGGTGGAGGGCAAGGACTCTACTTGGAGGCTGGAGGGCAAGGACTCTACTTGTGAGGCTGTGGGAGGGCAAGGAACTACTTTGGAGGGCAAGATCTCTTGCTGGAGGGCAAGGACTTCTACTTGAGTGCTGGGAGGGCAAGGACTCTACTTGGAGGGTGGGAGGGCAAGGACTCTACTTGGGGCTCTACCTGGGAGGGTGGGAGGGCAAGGACTCTACTTGGAGGGTGGGAAGGCAAGGACTCTACTTGGAGAGGTGGCGAGGGCAAGGACTCTACTCTGGAGGCTGGGAGGGAGGCAAGGACTCTACTTGGAGGCAAGGACTCTACTGGAGGCGGGGCAAGGACTCTACTTGGAGGCTGGGAGGGCAAGGACTCTACTTGAGGGGAGGGCAAGGAATCTACTTGGAGGCTGGGAATCTACTTGGAGGGTGGGAGGGCAAGGACTCTCACTTGGAGGGTGGGAGGGCAAGGAATCTTACTTGGAGGCTGGGAGGGCAAGACTCTACTTGGAGGGTGGAGGGCAAGGAATCTACTTGGAGGCTGGGAGGGCAAGGACTCTACTTGGAGGGTGGGAGGGCAAGGAATCTACTTGGAGGCTGGGAGGGCAAGGACTCTACTTGGAGGCTGGGAGGGCAAGGAATCTTCTTGGAGGCTGGGGGGGGCAAAGGAATCTACTTGGAGGTGGAGGCAAGGAATCTACTTGGAGGCTGGGAGGGCAAATCTTACTTGGGAGCTCTTGGAGGGGGCTGGGAGGAGGGCAAGGAACTCTACTTGGAGGCTGGGAGGGACGAGGCAAGGACTCTACTTGGAGGTGGGAGGGCAAGGGACTCTACTTGGAGGCTGGGAGGGCAAGGACTCTACTTGGAGGCTGGGGGCAAAGGACTCTACTTGGGGTGGAGGGGCAAGGACTTCTACTTGGAGGGTGGAGAGGCAAAGGACTCTACTTGAGGGGTGGAGGGCAAGGACTCTACTTGGAGGCTGGGCGAGGGCAAGGACTCTCTCTGGAGGGCAAGGAATCTACTTGGAGGGTGGGGGGCAAGGAACTCACTTGGAGCTGGGAGGCAAGGAATCTACTGGGAGGGGGAGGGCAAGGAATCTACTTGGAGGCTGGAGGGCAAGGATCTACTTGGAGGCTGAGAAGGACTCTACTTGGAGGCTGGGAGGGCAAGGAATCTACTTGGAGGGTGGGAGGGCAAGGACTCTACTTGGAGGCTGGGAGGGCAAGGACTCTACTTGGAGGGTGGGAGGGCAAGGAATCTACTTGGAGGCTGGGAGGGCAAGGAACTCTACTTGGAGGCTGGGAGGCAAGGACTCTACTTGGAGGCTGGAGGGCAAGAATCTACTTGGAGGGGGAGGGCAAGGACTCTACTTGGAGGCTGGAGGGCAGGAATCTACTTGGAGGGTGGGAGGCAAGGACTTGGAGGCTGGAGAAGGACTCTACTTGGGCTGGGAGGGGCAAGGGGAGGGGAGGGGCAAGGACTCTACTTGGAGGGTGGGAGGCAAGGACTCTACTTGGAGGGTGGGAGGCAAGGAATCTACTTGGAGGCTGGGAGGGGACACTTGGAGGCTGGGAGGGCAAGGACTCTACTTGAGGGTGGGAGGCAAGGAATCTACTTGGAGGGTGGAGGCAAGGAATCTACTTGGAGGCTGGGGAGGGCAAGGACTCTACTTGGAGGCTGGAGGGCAAGAAATCTACTTGGAGGCTGGGAGGGCAAGGACTCTACTTGGAGGCTGGGAGGCAAGGAATCTACTTGGAGCTGGGAGGCAAGGACTCTACTGGAGGGTCTACTTGGAGAGGGTGGGAGGTGGAGGGCAAGGACTCTACTTGGAGGGCAAGGACTCTACTTGGAAGGCAAGGACTCTATTGGGAGGGTGGTGAGGGCAGGGACTACTTGGACTGGAGTGGTCTACTTGGAGGGTGGGAGGGCAAGGACTCTACTTGGAGGCTGGGAGGGCAAGGACTCTACTTGAGAGCTTGTTGATCACAGCGCTCTTTGACGATTTCGCTGATCTGAGAGAGGCGATCGCAATGCCCTTGGCACCAGGGATATTCCTCATGTTTCACTGATTTTATAAATTGTTTGTTCGAGATATTTTTTCTTGTCCGATCTTATTTCTTGTCTTACCTTTATTTAAGAACTTTGCTGCACTATCTTTTTTATGATTTTTCTTTTGCCAGGATGTCTTTTTCCCTGTTGGTGACCCAGAGTATCCTGATGGTGGCATAACTTTTTTCAGTTGTCAAACTGAGTCCAGACTGAATTATAAAATAGTTCTCATTTAGCATTCGGATGAGGGCGCTGTGAACTTCAGCCAAGACATGATTCGATCTTTTAAAATTTCCTTCCATTCAATCAGTGCCAGTCACTTCATGTTACATGAGTAGCGATTGATGAACACTTTTACCTGGAGGTAGGCAATAGTAATCACATCAATAAACCGATATATAGATTGATATATGAATATATAAAAATGTTGATAGGTAGAGTGACTGATAGATGGATAATTACCTATTTACTGATGAATCAATAAACAAGTATATAAATAAATGTAATTATATTAACATTTTATATGAAAAAAAAAAAAAAAAAAAAAAAAAAAAAAAAAAAAAAATATATATATATATATATATATATATATATATATATATATATATAATATATATATATATATGACTGAAAATACATACATAAACATAACAGAACATACACTTATTAATAATTTTTATATGGGCCCTTTCTATTCAAAATTAAGCATATACACAAATCAATACATATATACATAGATATGTATAATTATATACATACGTACCTATATATTTCTATTTATATATATGTAAATATATATATATACATACATACATATATATAGATAGATATAAATATAAATGTACATATGCATGTGTGTGCGTGTGTGTGTGTGTGTGTGTGTGTGTGTGTGTGTGTGTGTGTGTGTGTGTGTGTGTGTGTGTGTGTGTGTGTGTGTGTGTGTGTGTTGTGTGTGTGTGTGTGTGTGTGTGTGTGTGTGTGTGTGTGTGTGTGTGTGTGTGTGTGTGTGTGTGTGTGTGAACTATATAAAGAAATATACATATATACATATCATCAATCATCATCTTCAACAGACTGAATCAATCCACTCCAAGACGTTGGTCTCTTCCAATATTTTCCTTTTTCTGTCGGTTTTTGTTTCCAGTCTTGGCCCCTAATTTCGTTATTTCGTCACGCCATCTTGTCATTGGTCTGGCCCTTGGCCTCTCTATGTTATCCATTGCCTAGTCTATTACTTTCTTTGTCCATCAGTCGTCCTGTCTCCGATATATGACCTGCACATTGCCATTTCTTCTTTTTGATGCTCCCGAATACAACTTCCACTTTCGTCTGTTCTCTGATCCACGTCGCCCTCATCCGATCTCTTAGGCTAATTCCCAGCATCGACCTTTTCATCCCTCTCTGGGCACTTATTGGTTTCCTCTCCAGCAATTTGGTTGTAGTCATTGTTTCTGACCCATAGGTGTAAACTGGTAGGACGCATTGGTGAAAGCCTTCTCTTTAAACATAATGGCAAGAAGACTCTTAGTAGGCTACTGTGTCTGCCGAAGGCGCTCCAGCACAGACTGATACGTCGCTTATTTTCTTTTCGCTAGAGGAAACTGCTCCATTTAATTTGCTGATTCACTGAAGAGAACAATATCGTCTGCAAATCTTATATTGTTTAGGTATTCGTCTCCCATTTTGATATCCTTTCCGTTCCAGTCTAGATTCTTGGATATTTCCTCGAGGCAAGCTGTAAGCAGTTTCGGTGAGATGGTGGCGCCCTGCCTAACACCTTTCTTAAGAGCTTGATGGTTACTGTCCCATCTTTGTATACCGTTCAATATTTTACAATTTACCTCCTCTACTCCCTGTCTTTGAATACCTTCTATTACTGCTGGTATCTGTAGTCACAATGCCTTTTCGTAATCGATGAATGCCATACACAGGGGTTTCCTATTTTCGTTTATTTTTTATCTTATTTGGGTAAACGTGTGGATGTGGTCTGTTGTTGAGAATCCACTGCGGAAGCCTGTCTGCTCTCTAGGCTGGTTAGAATCCAGACTACCAGAGATGCGAGCTGTGATGACTTTTGTGAAGTTTGTAACTGAAAGAAGGTTTATGGGTCGATAGTTTTTTTTAGATCCTATCCCTTTTTTATGTTAAAAAAAAAAAATGTTGCATTTTCCAGGTTTTCGTTTTTTTTTTTTTTTTTTTTGGTTGAGAAGGCATTTGATAAAAAGATCGACTGGTTTCACTGTTGCAATTTCTCCTGCAACCATTATAAAGTTTATACTAATTCCGTCTTCACCTGGTGTTTTCCCTCCATGCCTATAAGTGCTCTTATTT